AACTTCTTCAAGCTACAACTATTTTACCATGTAAGCACAAGAAAAAGTTACAACTGGATGCAGTGTGAACGGCACGAGCACCTGAGCGAAACGGCGAGTACAGAGATCTCTGGGTTCACTCAAGTACAACCGTTCCTAATTTTGGGCTACTGACCGCAGAGCGAACAGCCAGCCACGAGGGCTGAACATGACCAACGGCATCGCATCTCAAATCAAAACTCTCCTGCTCGGAAACGTACTACTAGGACACATTCAAACCATAAATGTTGCTAATCCGATGTATTGTTCACGAAATACGTCAGCAAACACAGAGTTTAATTCAACGATAATCACCCACAGATACTTGTATAATACGTGATACACAATGGAAACGTTTCAGGTCTCATACAGCGTCACTGTGTATGGGGGGGGGGGTGTCCTCATTTTTCACTCTGGAAATCTGGTGACTAATCATGTCTGAACTTCAATAATGCGCCGTCAGTTTGACATCTGTTATTAAACAATAAAACATAACATAGGTAATGCAGCGAATGGTATGTCAACAATTGTATTTACACTCGTATTCATTACACAAACTTGCATGTTCTGCCATTGTTATGTTGAACAGCAAGTTCTCGCAACAAAACAAATTCTTACACTATTCACGCCTTTTACCATATTCCTGGAAAGTAAACACTCTTTACAAGAAGGTGATTTTCCAACAGAAACGTCTTATTGTATAATACTTAATAGTTCTTAGCGTAAACAAAACAATGAATAAGACTATAACGTGTACAGGCACCTTTTCTTTAACGCTAATACTCAGTTTTATGAAAACATTAAGTAGGCCTGTATGGCATAATAAAGAGAATTGAATTTCACACTTCGATTGGAACACATTTGTTGATGTTGGAAAGGCTCAGACGTCAATTTTGCACACGATGTACCAAATGTACAGTTAGTTACACGCAGAATATCTTGGGTGCGTATCTAAATACTTTAGTCAATCACAATTAATGTTGAATGCACGTAAATGACGCATGCTCAGAACTTGTCATCAGATTAGGCCTAAAACATTAGATTTAGTGTTAGCTCTCGCTTTTTTGAACTCTATACTGAGTTTACCCACGTTTGTAAAACACAGTAACCTTACTTTTTCTCTGTTAAAAATACAATTCAAATCATATTGTTACGACATCGAGGTCACGTGACTAGTATCACGCCACGTCATTCTCGAACTTTCACGTCTTTTCCTTAAATCTCGTGATCCTTCTAGATATAGTGTAGTCTTGTATATATATAAGACCGGCCACGAAGCGACGGGGAGGTAGGTAGTTATTGAACTGCAGTCGGAGAATTTGTGAGGTAATGTGTAATTGAACTGAGTATTGTTGAGCACGAGCACGTGAGACGTTCTTTGAGAATTATAGCGTTGTTATAGAGCGACTGTTGAAATTAAGTGTATCGGTAAAGTTGTATTCGGAAAGAATAAACCAGTTTTATTTAAGAAAGGACTTGTGTCGCTAAAGTTTCGTTGGAACGAATTTACGGAAAATTAATTAACTAACGACTGGAGGCGTAACAATATTATTTCGTGTCTTTTCTTACCTAGATCATATGTAAAAACATAACTAACAAAAAGTTTATACCGGTACGGTACGTTGTTAAGAAATAGGATAAATTTTTACGTGTTAGTTGTCCTCTGCTGAAATATCACGTACATTTTAAGTGTTTAAAATTTAGGTTTAAGCATATCACGTGATAAATTACAGTCCAGGAGTGCGGCCGAGCGGGGTGGGGGGCGTAAAACACCCCAACATTCTAGAAAATCTAAAAGATCTACTACCTTCCGAAGTAAGAAATAATAAAAATTCACTTTCACGCAAGTGACAAATTATCTGTATATATATATAACCATTATACAACTGTTGTTGTTTTTTAAAAAAATCGCCCCCCCCCCCCCCATTTTGTAGTGCTGACTATTTAACGCATCTAAATTTACCCCTATCCAAAAAATACATCCCTGATGCGGTAAGGAAGACATAGTATAAAGGGGGTCTGTATACTATGCAACCGCAGGCCTACACAGATAATTACGTCATTCATCCAAACTTGAGTATGATTACAAGCGTGTTTCGGGTGAACCGAAATATTTCAGTTCGGTAAGGCCCACACAATTCTCGTGTTTGTCCTTTTTGTTTCCGCCCATTTGATTTGGTCGAATGGCCGCCCTTGAATTACAAATTTACGTCATGGAACGTGTTAACTGACCGGGGAATTCCCCCATTGTTCAGTCATATACTGCATAACTGCAGTAATATTTCATTTGTATTACGAATTTGGGAACGAAAAAATAAGGGGATAAATCTTACCCCATGATAAACAGAAAAGTAGACCGTGACCTGTTAAATAGTAGGCCTAACCTAGTCACGTGTGATGATCTAAAAGAAATGAATAGAAACTGGTTATTTGGGTTAGAAGGTATGAAACGAAAAAGGTGTTCTTATTGGCTAAACGAGCAGGTTTTTGAAAGGATTAAATAATGAAAAATAAACTAACTAAACTAATATTTTAAACGTATACTTAGTTGGATAGGTTTAGTTAGCACTTTGTAGGAATCGGGTTTTCCACACCTTTCATGTTTTTAGACATTAGCTATTTTAAAAAGCTATCCCTTCAACGTTCAGTAGTTTGACTCGAGTTACAGTTTTATGTTTTTTTAAGAAAGGACTTGTGTCGCTAAAGTTTCGTCGAACGAATTTACGGAAAATTAACTAACGAACGGAGACGTAACAATAGTATTTGAACTTTGTTTTCCCAGCTGTTAGTTTCTGGTCGAAGTAAAGTCGGATTAATAAAACTATTCCTTTCACTGACCCTACTTTTTTTTTTCTTTTTACAGATCAGTTATAACATCTAATGTCCCGGATGTATCATAACTTGTATAATTCACAAGTTTTGTATCAGCATCAATATGTATTACTCACGCCTCCTATTTTTGCGATGTAAAGAAATTATGCTTATATGGTTATAAGTGTAGCGTCTTATGGTATTAAACGTATCCTACATAGTCTACATTCTTTTGATGAAGCATTAGCATTTTTTGGCTTGAAATAGTCGCATGCCCCCAGATCCCTCTAGCATTAGCATGCTTTGCATGTTCATTGCGATTTGCACAATATGGGTTGGCTTTTGATCTCACAAATTAGAACCCCCTTTCAAACATTCTGAGTACGGGCCTGTTGCTGGATATACAAGAATTCTCCTGACTATGTACAATAAACAACTATACAACATTTCTAAACAAAGACTATGCATTGTTGTTTCGGTTTGTTATTTCGACCATTAGTCGTCATTTAGGTAAGCTCCAGGAGGGGTTCAGGGGATATCCACCGTCCTCTTCACCTTCCATGAAGAGCTATATAAATAGATCGTAACAACCTGACGGAAGACTAGAATGGATGATGTAATAATTTTAATATGACACAAAATGAGATGCACCGAGTCGGGGGAAGGAGGAAAATGAAGCAGATCCAAGTCAGTGGAGATGAAAACTGTGCAAACGATAGAGGATCTTCAGAGCAGGACTCCTTCGAGGGACGAAGATTGGAAATGACAGAAACCGAAGAGTGAGCAAGATGAAAGACAATTTAAAAGATGACGAAAGAAAAAAGGTAGGTTTACCGTGTAGGAAGGAAGTCCTCTGAAAGATTACATGCTGTACGTTGGTTCTATAAGCACGTGACATTCTTCCGCGTTTTTTATATGTTTTATTCAAGGGATGGGAGGTGTAAAAAAATAAACTTGTTAGTTGACCAATAACATTAGGTGTGGGAAGGAAGGTATGTGTTGAGTGTGCACCAGTGCATGTTACTGTAGTCGCACCTATTATAGACTTTAATTTTAAACCCGTTTAATTTGAAACTACATTCATTTCAGTTGTACGATAATATACATGTTGATTATATTGTGAGTTGCATCCACCCCTCCTGCTATAGTGTTTCGTCCCACAATTTGAGAATCAGTGACAGCAAACGAAGCAAACATTTAGTACACATTTTTTTTTTATTATTTCTCGTAGTCCTTTTGCGGACCGTTGAGCCGATGGCAGATCTTGCTCTGCCATCGTTTCTAAAGCTGTTTCTTACGTCAGGGATGCAACCCACTTGACAGCCTTCCCTCTTATTTAGTACACATGTTCTTGCTAATAGAGCTGTACTCATTAATTAGTTAATTATATTAATAGTATTTTTACAATGTTTAACACATACACAGATACATATTTATTTACTTATTATACACTAAAGACGATTATTTTGCATTGCTATCTCAGAATATGGATTCAGCTCAAATCTAAAAAAAAATATTTTAAACTGACCAAACTTCGCGAATTATTTTTGGAATTACGGCCGAAAATATCAATAATAGCGAGGATACATGATTGGTCAATGCTCTCTAATCACTGGAGATTTGCGTTTTCTTAAAGTTCTTTTGGTTTGTTGTATAGCTTTACATTCTCTTAAGTAGATGAGTATATAAATTAATTATGTTTAATTAACAAGTCGTTATATTTTTTAGTTTTGATCTATGTAGTTAGCTAGCTTTGATCATTAAACATTTGATCCCGTTTATGTAATCCATACGACATCGAGGCAACAAAACGCTATTCAAGCACGATTACTGGCCGTAACAGGTAGAGTTTACGTTTTAAGACAAGTAATAGTATAAAACAACAGTAAACATGGAGTTTCTAATAACAATGGACTTATCTCACTATACAGCCTATTGTGAAATTAATGACAACTTGTATGAACACACAACACTAGTGGAATCTAATCGAACTAAACATGTTTATAAGAGTATGTTGGTATAGTTATTTACAATAATTTAACATGATCAGCAAATGTTCTTCAAATACTATACTCACTAAACTCAAAACAAGATTGTATTTACTTACCTAGAATTAGAATTCTGTTTTTATCTTCCACTAGTCTGTATGGTACAGTCTCAAGGCACGCCTGCAGCCAAAGCTAAGAGTTTACAACAACACTCGCAAATGACGTTCAGACCTCCACTACCCCGCAAGTGTGTAAATTGAGAGGCACCTCTCTGGATTTATTATTTATAGGTGGCGCTAGAGTGACGTGTCCTACAAAACAGGTTCAAACTTCGAATAGTTGTTAGTATTGTACCAAGAAAAGTATTTATTAGCAGTAGAAAAAGATAAGATAACTAAGATCACTCTAAGCCTAACGATACTTATCTTTATTGCTTTTATCGAATTAAGATCGTGCGCAAAGAAAAAGAATTTTTTATTTACAATAGTCCTAGAAAATAAGGCCACGTGAAATTATTTTAACCCGATAGCTTCCAACAGCCCAACTTGTGTTTCCTCCTAATTATCTTTTTTTTACACAAGTATCCAGTTAGGGCAGAGCTTCGAGAACAAATGACAGCTTTTGCTGAATGTTTGGCGGGGGTGTATTCATATAAAAAGGTTACGTATTAAGATATTCTATGACTCAAGAAACCTTTTGCGTGTATTTTTCTCATACCAGTGTTATGAAGTCATTTTGAACCAGTTTATTAGTTTTACCGGCGACCAAAAGTTATCCTAACTATTAACATAGTATTTGTATTGGTTTTAAATTTATCCCGTGAAATAAGTGTTGCGTCAGCGAGGTCACGTGACTAGTATCACGCTACCTCTTTCTAGAAATATCCTTGTTCCTTCAAGAATGCCCTAGCATTTACTAGATATGTGTTAGTCTTGTATATATAAGACGTTCACAACGTGACGGGACAACAGGGTAATGAGTAATTGAACTGCAGTCAGAGAGTGTGTAATTGAACGGAGTATTGTTGAAGTCGAGCTCGTGAGACGTGAGTTATAGCGTTTGTTATAGAGCGACTGCTGAAATTAAGTGTATCGTTTTATTTAAGAAAGGACTTGTGTCGCTAAAGTTTCGTCGGAACGAATTTACGGAAAATTAACTAACGAACGTAACAAATTGGTGTCAGAAGTGGGATTAAAAAAATGGAAACGAGAGGTGGCAAATAAAACTACAGCTTAGCAGATTTGATGGCAGCAATACAAGAACAGCAAAAGAAACAAGAAGAACGAGAAAAGAAACAAGAAGAGAGACAACAGCAGTTGCAAGAAAACCTGTAACATTGGCAGCTCGAACAACAAAATAAACAAGAGATTACAGCAGTTGTTGGAGGAAAAAAAGAAACAAGAGGAGAGACTACAGCAGTGGCAAGAAAACCTGCAACACTGACAGCTCGAACAGCAAAATAAAAAAGAAGAGAGATTACAGCAGTTGTTGAAGGAAAAAGAAAGAAACAAGAAGAGAGACAACAACAGTGGCAAGAAAACCTGCAACAGT